AGCTCACTACATGTAATGCCCTCCCCCCCCCCCCCCCCAGCTTATTATGAAAGTCCATGAAAGTTTTTTTGGATTTCATTTTCGAGTGACAAAGGCATCAAATTCATGGGACACACGAAAAACTTAGAAAGTCACATAATTTTTAAAAGTAGACTTATAAATACAAAAATATGCATAAAATGGCAGGACTATACATAATGCTCCTCAACTCATTACATAGGTCCATAAAGTTTTTTTTATACCATTTTTCGAACGCCCAAGACACAAAATCCACAGGCTAATACTTCCAAAAAATCAAGAAAGTCGCATAATTAATAAAAATTACCTCATAAATGTGAAAATGTCTTTAAAATGAACGGAACATACGTATTGCTCCCCAACTCATTACGAAATTCTCATAAAGTTCTTTCAAATTTTATTTCTCAGTTTTGACATACAAATCTACTGAGAAGACAAACAATGCCAATCCAACACTACAATAACAAGCTTCAGTCTCATACAAATTTGGGGAACAACTCGACACTCAAATAAATCATACATTTTACCTATAGAGCTGTGCCAATTCTTGACTAATCTCTTTACATAACCAAATCATGAATAAATTTACAATGTTAACATGTTTGGCAAATTATCTCTTAAATTACATAGCCCAGAATTGATTCAGTTTCCTGATCTTGGGAGCTAGAAAGAATTACTTTACACAAATTTACGGAGAGGAAAAAGGAACTATCTAGAACAGAAAAAGAAAAGAAAAGAAAATGTAAAATACAATTTGCATAGATATATTTACTCTCCATGGACCATAGTAGACTGAAAGGGTACTTTCTTGATTTCCACAAAGGTTGAAAATTCCTTGTTCATAGGTTGCTTCCATGGTTCACCATCCACCTGCATATAGGCTTCTTTCCATTCACCGCCTCGTAATTCAAACCTCATTGCTGAAGCCTATAAAATAGAACAGAAATTTTTGTAATTCAAACAACTTGGACCAGCTTTCAGTGACAATGTCAAACAAATGAACTAATGGAAACATGAATATGAGCGCCATGGCGTTCTCTGAGCAAATATGTGTGGGAAAGCGGGGAGGTGGGGAATGGGTGGGGTGTTAATCACGTTCTCTGTTGTGACACCCTCAAGAACCATAGACTCAATTGAAACCTATATTGCAAGGTTTTTTTGGTCAGGTCTAGATGGGATTAAGCACCATTTTGTGGCTTGGCAAATACTTTGTTAACCCCTACAAAGAAGGGGACATCAGTTTCAGGAGATCGTTTGATACATGCCAAGCCTTCAACACTAAGCGATGGTGTATCTTGTGAACTACCAACTCACTTTGGAGTGAGTTCATGAAAGCCAAATACCTCACTAATATCCATCCTATCTTGATGTAAAAGCAGATTATTCATTCTTATAGCTGGAAATTTGAGTGATATTAATTTCTAATTGTTTATAAAAAAAAAAGAGTGATATAAAAGACTACTGACGCCAACATCCTTTTGGTATGATATATGGTCTAGCATTGGACCTCTTCACCAGACGGTTTCCCTTGGCCTTAACCTAGGGAACTCTAGGATGAAAGAGGTCCAGAAGAATGGTGCAACAGGAGGGTTCTGCTCACTCAACTCCCTATTGACAAAACAAACAAGATCAGGGAGCGTCAAATCTCCCTGAATATTTCAATGGATGACAGGGCCATATGGATGCAAACCTCCACAGGCAGTTTTCTATTGGTTCAGCTTGATATTATCTGAACTCTGAGACAGAAGTGAGCTCCTAATCATATTGATAACAAGTTCTGGTACAAAAGCATACTTCCTAAGATATATTTTATCACTTGAGGGCCCTTCCTAATAGACTAGTTACTGACCAAAGAGGAGCTAGATTTGGTATCATTATGATCCCCAAATGCAACTGCTGCAGTGTCAACAACGTTTGGGAGGAACTTGAGATTGCAGACCACATGTAATGCCAGGGTGACCATAAAAAGCTGTGAATTTATTTTGGTGGTCCTCTAGGCATTAACTTGAGCAACTCAAGTCTTAAAGTGGCCCTCCTTAGCTGGCATGCATTGCTAGGATACATCCCATTTTCATTTGCTGGGCAGCCTGGGTCTAGGTTTAATAGCAAATTTGATGATGAAAAACCTTCTTTGTATAAGATCAGCTACTAACATTTTCTAACATATGCAGGTACTCAATACCCAGTTTGTATGAGCCAGAGTTGGAGACACTTGGGAGTCCATATGTCAACCATGTGATGCAGACATACACCATGGAACAATCACAGAAGTCAAATGGATCAGATCTAGGGAGACTGGAATCAAGCTAACTACTGATGGGGGTTGCATGAGGACGGATTATAAGAGATAATCTTGGCAGCACCATTTTTGCATACTCTATTGCCCTGGGACAAGGCACCAGCAACATGGCTAAAGCTGTTGAATTACTCTTAGGCATCAAATGATGTGTCAACAATGGGGCACCAACCATGTTTGTGGAGAAACAGACTCCATACTAATTGCTAAATGTGCTAAAAAGGATGGAAGATCATGGATTCCCTCCTATAAGCCACTGCTTCCTTTTCCGAATTACCTATGCAGATCAAACAGTTGGTCACCATGAACAGATGAAACTTCCATCATTCAGAAACTAACAAAATATGCCTAGCAACATCATCTACTATCCCCCTGAACAAATGAGCCAAAGCCTCTTTTGGTTTGGATGGATTCGTGCAAATATATTAGTCTCATCTCACTGATCGTGTATAAAAGTTAGGGATGCCAAACTCAATTTGTAACTTTTTGCACATCAATGATCAATGGAGGTTCTTGAATTATTATTTTTTCTAGAAAGAGGGAAAGTAACCAAGAAGAGATGAAAAATTATAGCACTCTCCGGATTTCATTCAGCAATCTACAGGAAACTGTGAAGTAATGCATGTGATGAATCCATATGATATAGAGAACAGGTTCTAGTGAGTAAGTGAGTAAAATACCTGGGCAATATGTTTGGCAGAGATGAGTTCAACCATAACCATAGAAGCATGCCATCCATGTTTCAGGCCAAATATTTCAACATATCCATCATCTGCGTGGGCTTCAACAAAACCTTTCTGAAATTTCAAAAGCAAGAGAAAAGAAATCAATATCATTGTTTAACAGGATATTACAGCAGATAATACACTGGCTTCCATCATCATTTGTGAAAAATTGGCAACTGATCAATCCGAATATTCAGTAGGATTTCCAATATTATGGGAAACCCTTTCATCACCCCAAAATACAGCTTTCTGATTTTTTTCCTGAAGTTTATGATAGAGAGTCTGCAGTGCCCAGGCCACTGATATGCAGTTTGTTTAGTGTAATAGAAGATCAGAAACAACAAAACATTGAACAATTTGGCACTTGGGGTTTCTGTCTCTAACTGTGCTCTAAAGAATTTTTTAATAGCACAGAAATAATGCCAAATTCATCTTACAGTTGCTAAATTGATTCACTCTTGTTTTTCAATAAACATGAAATTGTACCATATTCAGTACTTGAAGCAGAAGCTGGACTCAAAATAAAGTGCTTGATAAAATGAAAGGAACCATCAACTTGTTCTACTGAAATTTCCAAAAGATTTCAACAAACATCCAGATTGACATTGGTAAAGTGATGACTAACTTAAAAAAAATTCTTAAAGAAGAAAGTAATCATCAAGTTCACATTCCAATATTAAGATCTTCTGTGTTCTGCTTAATCATGATCTCAACTGCCCAACAAGTCTATTTGTCTACCAGGGGCATCATTCAAGTCCATTAAGGTGCTTACAGCCCTCTACAGACATAATACTAGGAGTAAACGGACAAATGCAAAATGGAAGTGCATCACTAGGATCAAATTTACCATCCTATGTGCCTCGTACCAAAAAAAAATTACCTTCTCCAAGTACTCAGGCTTCAAATTCCCCCATGGATTCCTCCCACTGCCATAACTAGGAAGATTCAAAGTCACTATAGACCGAACACTGCAATGTGAAAGGATTAGGAATGTGAGGTCAAGCATAAGGAAGGTACAACTATAAAACTTCAAAACATGTTACAACTCATTAGGAGCATTATAACTAGCATTATTTTTCAGTATAATTGACTATATTTTCCCCAAATCAGAAAAAGAGAACAACTATTATATTGAGGTTATCCAAGCGATTCTGCATTTTGCTATGAACTATTTAAAATATATTGAGCCGATTAATAGACGCCAAAGGACAAATATCAACCTTGAAGGTATAGGGACTTGCTCCCACTTTGAGCTATTGACCTTCTTGACATATAAGCGCAGAATGTTATTTAATCCCCTGCATCAAAAAAAAACATTTAGGAATCAGAGATATGCTTCAGCATACTAGATTCAGTAACCATTACATCCTCTAAAAGATAATAATTTTAAAAAATGGCAAAAAATCTTTCACAAGATATTTTCTAAATGGTGGCCCATTATCCACCGAGTTTAGAAGGTTGTGATTGGTCCAAAGGGCGAGTCACATGCAGATTTCTCGGTAATTAGAAAAAAAAAGATATTTTCTAAATGAAGTAATTACATGACACCAAAAGCAAGTATAATTGTTTCCAAAACAAATTTGGAAGGTCAAACACGCCATATCAAAAGCCATGATATATCAGAAGAAGAGGAAGAGATCATCCATCACATATGACCATTCATGATAATCAAAAATTTCCAAAGTCATACCTAATGATATAGCTATAGTAGTATTCACATTCAGCAAGTAATAACTGCAATTAAAAAAAATAGCAATCTGCATCAGCAAATGCAACATCAATAAGTGCAAGAAGCAAACTCGCACCCCTGAGACTGATAGATGGAGAAATATGAGCTGTCTATACCCAGGGAGCTTTCTTCCCTGCTATTTGGAATCCTAAGGGAAACACTTCTCTAGAGGCTTCAAACTGGGTTGCAAGGCCTCAGCAAGGATAAGCAGACGATACAATTAATAAATGCTTTGAAGCTTTCCTGTGCATTAGATCCAAGAATCCAGACGAGACACTAAGGTTAGTGTAAATCTCGATGTGTCAAGCAAAATTTTTCAAGCCACCTGATGTACCAACGTTGTTCCAATCTGGGAATAAGGTAAATTGTATCACTATGTCAAGTTCTTTTCCACTTGTATTACAGGATGAGAGCAACTCCCACTCCCTTATATTTCGGCAAGTTTGACAGGCATGCCACACTTTTGGAACTTTCTTTGTTCTTTTTCATCAATAAATATAACTAGTCTATAAAGACTAGGAGGACTCCAGGACTGTTTGTGCACTCATGAGTCGTGCCTACAGGTAATAAGTCTAAATACTCACAGATTTGCGATTGTGCTTCTCTCATTTCGAATACAGTGACTTTGCATCATGATTTACTGACATACCAAATACATTTTAAAGCATTATCTACTACTGGTTTGAAGGATATACTATTAATGTTGAACTCAATATGCCCAAATCGTTACTTGTGCATTCCTTTGTCCAAACCTTCTCAAATTTGTAACTATTTTTTATGAAGAAATTTCAAATTTGCAGCACAACAAATGTGAACTACTAACACCTTAAAATGATGTAGAATGTCCAAATATAGAACATAGAAAAGAAGTAAAAATGCATAAACGACACTACTAGTAATAATATGCCCCAATCTCAACTAGTTAGAATCGGCTCTATGGATCCTATATAACCATTCCATCTATTAGGGCTCACCCCATCCTTATACTCAATAATTTATTGAAGGCAAATAAGAGGTTCTATTGCACTAGATATTTTCTAAAACGCATACTTATTCATGCACTCAATAAATTAACTGGTGCAAAAGCATATACTCCGAAAAAAAGGAGGGAGAAAAGCACAGGAAACTTAAACTGCATCACGAATAAGTATGAAAACTGATACATATGATTTTCCAAAAGTATAATTGTCATGCCACAACAAATGGATGAAGTTGAAAATTAAATTTCAAAATCAGTATCTATATATTTTATTTAAGACACGGAAATCTTCAAGACAAGCTACTTGTTATTGAGTTGTTAGAAAGTAAATGGAAGTGGTTTCTTGTGCGTGATTTTGACCAAAAAATCATTAGTTTTAAGTAGTACTTCAAGAAAAGATTTTAAAAACACATGTTAAAACAATCTACAACAACATTTGTGGTCCGTGATAATTGATCTCTAATACAAAATGATCTTGAACCTGTCAACATTTGCTCTCTTTCATGCCTAACAATATCAGTGTTCTGCATTCATTGTTAGATGTAAGCTATGATAGGCCAGCTAAACAAGGTACAAAGAAAAATATGTCATTCTAAGATAAGGATTAGTCAATCCCAACTAGAAAAGTGACGAAGCAGGGCCTTTCTGAATGATGAAAGCTATACTAGTTATATCTCTATCTTACTCTGACCCCAATCTATGATAAACCAGACAAGTGAGGTAAGCATATTGTATGATTATGCATGTAGGAAAAAAAAACAAATAAAAACAAACAGCTGTTGCATGCGGAATTTGAGAGGATAACTGAGTGAGGAAGTTCGAACCTTAAACCAGGATCACTGCTACAAGGTGCAAAGAACCAGCCTTGCTTGCAACTATATCCTGAGTAAATCAACTGCAGAAAACATTCTTGTCAGAATCTAGAACATTGTACTTCATGAAATCAAATATAATGTACTGGAGAGAAGTAAAAACACCAATTACTATACACTTCAAAGTCGTCTATGCCTTTGTCACAGAACTCTAAAAGACAAGTATACAGTTCAAAGTTGTCTACACTTCAGACAAGTATTTATCAAATTTTCTATATACCTTTCTTTTCTGGAGGTGTTGCTGGTACAGCCTTTTTTTTCATTTTGACAAGTATATGCTTTTATCAAGTTGATTTAGGAAAATAAATGATCAAGCAACTTCATAAAATTAAAACTAAAATATGCAAACAAGTTTATGATCAAGAGCAAGAGCATCAACCTTATTTGATAGAGGACCTTGAGCAAGGTATGGCTTTTCATTCCGTAGATGGTGAAAACCATAGGCAACTTGCGCATCCATCCCTGCAATAGTTATGGTATAGACAGACTGTCACAGCTGCTTGTTCATCATGCATTGTTGACCACAACTAGAAGTAAATGTTGACAAGTGAACAAATAAGCAATTTTCTTTGTAGCTACTTATGATTTTGTTTACATGTCTAAAGAATGCCTTTTCTTCTTGAGTCAGGGTAAGTTGGTGTTAGACACCAAAGTTGTTTCTTTCTTTAGTGGTTAAAATATTATCCTCCCCCTCCCAGTTTATTTGGCATAATTTCACTAGATAAGGAGTTCAAGAAAGAAATGAGAAATTTTGTCACAGAAGCTAAGTATGCATAAAATACCAAAAGCAACCTTCTAATTGGGTCCAAAACAATTCATGCCAACTCTTGGCAGAGCATCTCAATAAGGAGAATATAAATATTAACAAAATTTAAATATAGAAAGGTGACGGTCAATTTCGAATGGATAAAAATGGAAGTTGTGCCATTAAATTGGGACAAAGGGAGTAGAAGATTTCAGAAATGGAAACAAAAATGGTCAACCATTTTTTGAAATGTGACAACACTACCAGATATTCTTAAAATTAAAGAGTGGCAAAAGATAACTCTGTCCTGGTGGATGGTAATAGGTTTAGTTGGATCAGTTGAGTACACGCAACCTGGCTCAAACACCATCTCTATCAACAACAAAAAAAATAACTAAAAGAACTAAAGGACAGAGGGTGTAATGATTTACTTCCATAAAAAGACTCTAGGAGCTCAGGAAGTAAGCAGATTCTGCAAAAACCGGTTTTCTGTTAATGTTAAATTGTGCAAGATTTAACGAAGAGGAAAATACTTCTTAGATACCAAAATAGCATCTCTCCCTATCAATTCAGTAATAGCAGTAATTATAGTTTTATAACTCCAAAAGCAACTACAGCTCTCATAATTATCAAAAGTGGTGGTACAATGGTGGTGAAAGAAACTAATTTTCTGTTAGTAGTAACTCCAAATATTGACACTGAAGGACAAGTGTTGGTAGTGGGAATATATGCATTAGTAGAAGCACTATCAACTAAGAATAGTAGTATCAGATTAAGCATTAAGATTTGATATAAACCAGTCATATGCTTTGCCAAGATAGCAACAGTAAACATATATAAACTAATAAATCATGACATGGAAAGTATTGATGCGTTAGTTAGGCCAAGTTACTGTTGCACACCTATGCTAAAGTAATTGTAAAATACTCCTTGATAATAGGACGACTTCTCTGGTAATTCCCCATCAATTTCCAGTTCCTGCACAACCAATGTCATGGATGAATCAATAAACATTGCTAGAAAAATTTTAAGTGTTCATTATGACTCAATTTGTAGTTAATAATTGAAAAGGAAGAAGAAGTTTATCCTTAAAGACAGTTGATGGACAAAATGAACTTTTGGCATATCCATTCAATTAAACAAGGAATGAAATTAACAAACATACCATAGCTTGCAACTTGCAAACACTCCCTACATAAGCTGACAAGACAATACTCACATAAGCAAAACAATACTCACATAAGCAAGAGTACATAGGAATTGCTGTAATATTACATTTGGAATGAACACCTTGCAAGTGATACTAGACGCTAAATTCCCAAAATAAGTATCTGTAGTAAAGCACCTTTCGAAGCTTAGCTAATTTACTAGGACCTACAAAGTACCACTGAATGAACGATGAATGATTTCATCAAGAGAACATAAGTATCTATTAACAGATCTACAGCATATTGATTTCCTTGGACCCTATAACGTATTAATAAATGACTTCTACATGGAGAAGCATTACTATATATTAACAAATTTATAACAGTGAGATTTCCTTGAACTCCAAATTGCCTAGGACAAATTGCAGATGAATGTGTGGCATACTAAGATAGATAAGATTAAGATCAAGAACAAAGTTACATGGGACAAGGTGTGAGCGGCCCATGTGGTGGACAAGATAAGAAAGGTTGAGATGGTTCGAGCATTTAAAGAGAATATGCATTGATGTCCTAGTGAGAGGTTGCTTTTAGTGGGTATAAAAGAGGTAGATGTAGGTTGAAGAAGTCTTCTGGGGGGGGGGGGGGGGGGCATGGACATGACCCTATATAAAGAAGACATGGAGTTCAAGGATTAGGGTAGAGGGTTAGTAGGTGGTTGAAGCATAGTCTAGTTCCCTTATCAATATTGTTATACTTTGCTACTATCTTACTTTTTCTATTTAGTATTACATGTCTTATTTGCTTCAGTTATCATATTATTTGTTGCTGGCACTTGTTCTCTTCTTAATTGGTTTCAGCACGGTTTCTTCGATTTTGTATTTGTTTACATTTTTTTGATACTTTTTCTAATGTCTATCAAAAACAAATTTTCTATCTTCACAAGGTAAGGGGTAAGGGTTAGTACACAATACCCTCCCTAGACCCCACTTGTTGAGTTACACTATATATGTTGTTATACAATTAATATATAATATATTGATATAGAAAAAAAATTAATCTAAATATAAGCTTCTGTTTTAAAAGGTTTTTGGGACTTGTAGAACCCTGGAAACTCATCTGTGTGGCTTAATTTTCTAACACTCATCACTCGGTGCTTGCTCAAAAGTTCATACCAAAATCATGTGTCCAATTCCCTAATTAACATTGTTAACCCACAAATTCTTTAACAAATGAATAATAATGTTAAATTCATTTATAGAATTATGAAGATTCAGAATAACTCAAATAACGAGTCATAGTATTGCATATTTACTAATTGAGAACATGTTGAGGATGAATATCATTTGAACATCCTTTCGGAAATAGCTACATAATTTAAATTTCATATCCCTCATTTTTATTGATTTTCATATCTAATTTCTCTGTCTCAAAATTACCATATTTCTATTTTTTGCTATTTGAAAGTAATTTTGTATTTATTCATGAACGAGTACCAAATTTCACTGGGTATGTTTTCTTGTTAAGAAATTATGATATTTCAATGTTTATAAGTTAAGAAGTATATTAATTTGTATCTATTGATAACTTTACATTATTGTGTTGTTATACTTGTAAAATATCCTAGATATTTTGTTTTGAATGAATTGTTTAATTTTCTTTAACTTTTAAGGTACAACCTGTAAAATTTTTTGTTAATATGCTATTTTGTAGATGTGTAAATTAAAAGATCAAAGATCCATGGGGCATGTCTCAATACTTACATCCCCCCGTACTAAGTAAAACATCCCACCTTTCAAAATCTCATATAAACTAAAATTTAATTGATTAGAGAATATTACAGACTTATAATATAATTATTATTTGATTAGAAAGAACAAATACTTAATAAAAAATAATCATAAAATAGTACAAGTGCAAATCAAATCTCATTTTATTTCATCTTGATATTGTCGCAGTATTTGTTACAGACATACAACTTAATAATGGTTTTTCTATTTTTTATCCTTTTTTTTTATGACCATGATGTATGGGCCAGCTTCCGCACACCTCGACTAATTCCATGGTAACAGGTAACTCTATCCACCAAGGCTAAGACAAGTGGGAAGAATCACCTAGTGTTTTTTTGTCTCCATTGAGTTTTGAACCTGAGACCTCATGATTCTCAACCACTTCATTGACCACTATGCCACACTCTTGGCTACATTTACTATCTTTATATTTCTCATTTCTTTTTTGTAAGAGTTGTATACAACTATACATTTTATTCTTATTACATTATGTAAATTTTAAGACAATTGTTTGTATTGATTGAAATGTCTTGTTTGTGATAATTAATTAATAAAGGGAACTGCTTTAGCTTTCCTTGAATATTTCTGTATGTGTAAGGTACTAACATGATATAATTGAGATATTTCATGAAAAATCAAAGTCATAATTCTCATTATACGTAAGTTGAAGTTGAACAAACTATGATCAGCGACTTACCATACTGTACCGCACTTTACCAAAATCGAACTGAAAAATACCGAACCAACTGAATTAATTTATTGTAATGGTAGTAGTATTTTGAAAAACCAAAGTAACCGAACCGATATTTTTAATACCGGACCATGAAAACACCTAGCTTCTAGAAAGTGATCTAGCATACTGGAAAATAGCAGAGTGAGTGATCTCTATGGCTCAATAAACACATGCTTCAGATTGTAGGTCTTTCAGTATCACCTTTCTAGCTGGTGAGAAGGTCATTGGATTTAGCAGGCAGCAGCTGCATGCTAGTTGGCCGATTATAAGTTTGAGATTAGTTGAATGGAATAAAACTTAAGGAAAGTACTAAAACAAATGTGCTGCTCAAACTAGAGATCAACAACAAAGGGTAACGAGCTACAAGTACTTCTAGGAGCCAGGAAAGTCTGGGTCGAGGCTTTTGGACACCATGTAGTTGGTGGAAGCACTGGGATTAAGTAATCACTAACTGGATGTACTAGTTTACACGTGGACAGAGGAGATTTTGTTTTTTTTTAAAAAGTTACAAATCCAAATAAGTCATCCATCCAAGTATAATAAAAAAATCAAAAAGACAAGTTCAAATATACTGCTGACAGAACGTGATAACCTTTATAAAGAAAACAAGAAGTGGAGAAATGACCAGAGACTAATGGAAAAAGTTTGATTTCAGATTACTATATTAAGGGCGATAATGACAGATTAGGACCAATACATGTCCATTCGCGATACCAGTACGAGTTTCAACACAATAGGTACATCAATTACCTGATCAAGAGATGCAGAGTCTGAAGTTTTTAGAGAATAAGGCGTCTCCAGAGCTTCCCCAGCTGGCATTGATATTACAAGATTCCAACTGCAAAGAAAAGCTGCTAATTGAAAAGGTTGCTAAGAGCATGAATGAGGCTCAAATAATTCAGGGAAAGACAAGGAAAAAATGACAACTAAGTCTCATTTTCATTCTAAAGTAAACACTTTTGTAACCGCATAAAATCAATGCTAAATCATGTCTGTTTTACCAATTTATCAAATGACACATTGATTTTACAATTGATAGACAAAAACAATAAATAAACACTTTGCAACATTATTACAAAGAAATACGAGCCTTATTAATGTTTCCAGCTAAGAAACTAGGTTTGAAATATTGCACCGGAAAACAACTTTTAGTCTGTTTCTGTTTGCCTCAGTGATGCATCATATCTAAAATGAGGTGTCGTGGTGTATGTTATTTGTAGATGAAAATAATACTGATTGACAAGACTCACAATTAAAATTAACGCTAGGCTGGAAGTTTGGAGACAGACATGGAGTCTAAAGGTTGAGCAGGACCAAACTGAATACTTGTAGTGCAATTCCAGTAATGTAACTCGTAAGGTTTGCATGGACACGAGGCAAGATACAAAATCATCCCCAAGAGACGAAGTTTCAAGTATCTTGGGTATTTAACTCAAGGAAATGGAAGATCAACGATGACAGCACACATCATATCGATGCCGAGTGGACGAAATGGAGGCTCGCCTCCGGAGTCTTGTGTGATTAAAATGTACCACCAAATCTTACTACAAAGTGGTGGTTAGGCCAATTAATTTGTATAGGGAAAAGTGTTAGACAATTACGAACTCTCATATTCAGAAGAAGAAAGTTGTGAAATGGGGATGTTGAGGTGGATGCGTGGACACACTAGGAAAGATAAATTAGAAATGAAGATATTCAGAGCAAGGTGGGGTGGGCCTCTGTTGTGGAAAAGATACGGAAAGCAAGGCTTAAGATAGTTCAAACAGGCAAAGAGAACATGTGCAGATGCCCCAATATGATAGTTGGAGAGGTTGGTTATAATGGGTTTAAGGAGAGGTAGAGGTAGTCCAAAGAAGTCTTGGACAGAGGTGATTAGAATGGACATGGTGAATCTTCAGCCTACCGAGGTCATGACCTTAAAGAAAAGGATATGGAAGTTGCATATTAGGTAGAAGGCTATTAGGTAATTGAGCATTGACTCGCTTTCCTGCTGGATAGGCTTGGTGGTAGTTTGCATTGTACCAGTTTTTTCTCCTTTCATACAGTTAGTATTTACACTATTCTAGTAGCTTTTTATGTTACTACATGTTATTTCTTATGCTTCGGTATTAACACAATTCTAATAATTTCTTGTCCTTATATTTCTGTTACTACATGTTGTTTCTTATGCTTCAGCTATCGCATTATTTTTGTTGTTACTATTCTTTTTTGAATGTTATGTAATGTTGTCCCTATTATTTGTTGTGTCTTTTGTACTTTTGTATTTTACGTTCCAAACTGTTTTGGTATGTGTTACTTGAGCCGAGGGTCTTTCGGAAACAAACTCTACCTCCACAAGGTAGAAGTAAGGTCTTTGTACATTATACCCTACCAAGACCCACATGTGAGATTGCACTGGATATGTTTTTGCAGAGAAGTTGAAATTTAAAAAATATAAAGGAGTTTTAAAAACAAGAACTGCTCTTTTGAGAAAATGAAGATGAATTGCTTGGTTCTTTTCCATTTCTGGTGTAAACATGAATATCCTCAAGAAGAAGAAGATATTCCTAGCATTTTAGATAACTTAAAAATTATAAGATTATAGAAGGTTAGTGTTTTTTTAAAAAAATAATTATAGAAGGCTAGTTTTTACACTTCTGTGATCTTTGTTTTGTAAGTATTACTGGACTACTCCTGGAGTATCCCTCTGTTGATAATACAAATTACCTTTATCAAAAAAAAGAAAATGAACTTCTGAAAGCAAATTCTGCTACTGATTCCAGATGTTCATTGACCTAGAAAAAACATATGATAAGAACAACAAGAAAGGTCCTTTGGTGAGTTATTGAGAAAAAAGGAATTTGTATTTCACATATAGTGAAATATATAGGGCGTGTGAAGGCATCAATAACGTGCGGGAAATAGTAAAAGATACAAAGGGTATTTTTATAACCATGGGTTTACACCAGGGATCGACATTGAGCTACTTGTTTGCCTCCTTGTGATGGAAGAGTTAATTAACAAACTACATGATGAGGTTTCATGGTGTATGCTATTTGTTGACAACATTATGCTAATTGACAAAACTAGCGAAGGTGTCAACCTAAAGCTTGAATTATGGAGAAGCCTTCTACAAAATTAAGGGGTCGTTTGATAGAGTGTATAAAAATAATTCACAATAGAGTGTATTTGTAATACTTGCATTAGTAATACAGTAATATTTGTGGTAGTTATGCTTGCATTAGTTATACATAGATATTTTTTATACATTGTTTGGTTGATGCATCAAAAAGAGTACGTATTGTATAAAATGTTTATTTACTAATACACAACTAATGCAAGCATTAATTTTGTTAATATACTCTACCAAACGACCCATAAGTGTTTAGGATAAGTAGAAACAAAATTGAATATATGCACTGCCAGTTGAGCCTTCTAGAGAGTAATGTTTTATACAAGTAGAAAAAAGATTGAAAAAACGCACCGCAAGTTTAGTCAACATAAGAGAAGTGAAATTGAGGTGAGACTAGACGGGATTGCGGTTCCTAAATGTAAACAATTAAATATCTGGGAACGTTGTTCCAAGAGAATGAAATAATGAAGATGCTACATATAGAATCAAAATCAGATGGTGAAATGGAGAAGTGCTACTGGATGTTATGTACAGAAGAACGCCTACAAATAGATTGGTAAGTTCAAGTGGAAGTTATAAAATCAGCAATGTTACATGAGAGTAAAAATTAGGTCACTAAAATCCAACACATACAAGATGGGAAGAGATGCGAATACTAAGATACATGTGCATAAAATACTAGAAAAGATTATAAATGGCCATATTTTTAAGAGCTTCAAGTAGCACACAGAGGATAAAATGAGAAAATACCGCTTGAGGTGGTATGGTCATGTCCTGCATCGACCACCATATAAACCCTCCGTAGATATGAAACCATTATGAGTAAAGGTGAAAAAGACTAGGTAGATCTAAAATCACTCGAAAGATGTCTTGAGGATCTACAATTTCTAAGGATTCATGCAAGTGTAGCAAAAGACAGGACACAGTGAAAGATAGATCTATATAGCAAATACCTAATAGTTGGGATCACGTTTTTGGTCATGCTAGCATTTTTACTTTACGCTCTATGCTTTTCTAGGAGTTGTTCCCTTCAGAGATTTTTATGTCTCTAGAAAATATTAAGAACTTCTAGTACTTTTCATGTTTATTTTTATTTATATAATATTGATTTGAGATGAGTTTAAATGGAGTAATGGTCACTATTGGTCAGTGAAGATTGATATAGTTGAACAGGATCGAGGCATAGTTGTTACATAAACTTCAAAAAGCAAATAGCACGTTGTGTTTATGGTTTTAGGAGATTAACACCATGGAAATAAAAAATGTTTTATCAAGAACTACCTATAAAATAAAATATTCACCTATCTAGATGGCAGATAGGACCATTGGCAACCCTGTCAAGAATTCTTTTTGTGGCTGTCTTCCAGTTAAAAGGAAATGAACCACCCTGAAAAGTGAAGCTCCAAAAATTTATAAAAACTAGTCACAGGAAGACAGTAAGTACTGATGATTAAGCAAGTCTGAAAAAATATACCAATATGAACTTACCCAACCAAAACTCCTGGACAAGTCATTTCCTGTACCAAGTGGAATTATGCCAGTCGGTGGAACTGGATCCCGACCCTGTCTCTTAAGCTTACCAAGGCAGCCAAGAACCCAGCCAACAGTACCATCACCTCCTGCTGCCTGCAAAACCAGAAAATTGAACAGGTAACTCCTTGATAAGAATGCACTGGGAGAATATGTACTGTTTAAGAAGAAAAAAGGGGCAATTATGTTGCATCGTATGCATACCACGATCCTTATCTTTTCACGAGTCTCTTTCGCACAGGTGTCACCAAGAGCAGCAAACTTCTCCAGGCAACTCAGTCCATATTGAACGAACTCATCAGGCTTCACAGTTGAAAGGTCAAAAACCTGGCACAGTTTAACGCAGACACAAATAAGATCAAAAGAAAATCAATGTGATTTCTAAAAGATATGACTATATAATAGAGATTTTGTCTTTTGACAAGTATTTAATATAGATATTACACTGTGTAATAATTTAAATAGATTTTTTCATATAAAGAACCTATTAACAACACAACCAGCAACTTCCCCCCTCCCAAGGAATATAATTGCTGCATCAGAGAAACCCACAAAGCTCAAAATTTAGACAATAAGAAACCAAAGAGTAAATGAACAATTTTCAGGAAAAAGAAATGAATTATTTCTGCTATCGCAAATATGAGCAGTTTCTCTCACTTCAGGCAGCACATAATTCAATCACTTATTATGTATTCAGTAAGTAGAATACAGATAGATAGAGAAAACTATCCTTCCTAGTTCTCTTTTTGGTATCATTTTAGTCCTTTCCACAGTATTAAATAGATTTTTATTTTTCCCAGGTGCATCATTCAATTGGAGATTTCTAGGCTCATACCAGGAGACTTGAATGATAGATGAATTACATGGAGATATCTTGGTCGTTCCAGGAGAATAGAGTGACAGATGAAGATGTTACACATCAAATCATAATCAGATGATTGAAATGGAGAAGTGCTATTGAGGTGTTATGTGACAGAAGTACGCCTACCCAAATGAACGGTAAGTTATATAGAACAGTTATGAGACCAGAAATACCACATGGGAGTGAAGATTGAGTCGTTAAAGTCTTAAACATCCCCAGGATGAGTTTCATAGAAATGCGGATATATAACCATACAAGACTAGATAAGATCAAAGTTGACCATATTCACCAAAAGGTACAAGTAGCAGATATTGAGAATAAAATCAGAGAATATCGCTTGAGATGGTTTCAGTCATGTCCTGCATGACATCCAGATGCACCGGTCAGTATATATGAAACAATGATGAGTGGAGGTGTAAAAAGCGGATGATATAGACAAAAAATCAATGGAAGGAAGTTGTCTCAAAAGACGTAAGATTCCTTGGAAGCTATGCAATCTTAGTGAAAGATATGGCACAACCGAAGAGAGAAAGATAGTTCTGAATATGCTCTAGTCATGCTTTTTTCTTATGACCAGAAAAGTCCAGCTGGGGCCAACCATTAGGATCAATCGCAGGCTTGAACTCAAAGGTAATAGTTCTGGTGTCCTTCTTCACTTAAATATCGGGTTTAGTTCGCATGGCGTAGGGCTCAAACCTGTGACTTAAATCACAAGTCCCTAAACCTTTGCCAGTTGAACTAAACCTTTGGAGTTATAATGTACATTTGTTTTAGGTTCTATGCCTTCTGAGAGTCTTTTAGTCCTACTAGATGTTTTTATGTTAGCATAAAATATGGAGAACTTCTAGTACTTTTATATGTACTTTTATTTTGTATAATGTTGGCAACAAATGAATATAACGGGAAAACATGGTTAGTGAGGATTCAAATAGCATACCTCAACTTCTTTAAGTACGACGTGTAGTTGCTGTGTTGCATCAACATCTCACAGGGTATGACCTGGGTGTAGATACTTTAAAAATTGGTTCTTAATTTTCTTGGGTTGGGCAGAAGAACATATATTATTTAATTAAAACCTAAGGTGGTTCGGTACATGCCAAAACTGATCTTGGAGTATCCCCTCTTTCTATAACCAAAATAAATGCTCGCCCCCATACAAGATCAAACAGTACAGACCATCAGTTTACAAGACAGATGCTCTACAACCACTAAGCCGTAGGGGCTGTGCTTGAAGTATCCCTTGAATCTGCTTGAATTATTAAGTCAGACTCATGCGCTCCATCTGTGACTCGTTTCAGCCAACAGAACAAGTATTTTCCATTAACACAACTTTTCCGTCCATGGAAATTTGTTTTGAACAATTTTTGCTAACAGATAAATGCTTTAGGCATCACATTTGCAAAGCAAGTTGAGCACTTGAGCTACTTAGTAAAGGAAACTTCATGAAAGAGATAACGAAAGTTAAATCTTCTAACTTTACACAGCTCTGTTGAATAGGTTTACCATCTACTCATGTATGTGTCTCTCTTCACTACCTGGAATGTTTTTATTTTTATTCTTTTCTTGTCGTGGTTTTAACAGCTAAACTGAGCTTGAACAAACCAAAAAAGAGAACTAGAGGACAGTGCACCCTCAATACTCTTGAGTGCGTTCAACAAGAAACAACTCATATGAACCTTGTCCAGTTTCTCCCATTAAGTAATATACACATTTTGTATGAAAATTGACCACGGTGTCAAGAGGAGAACAGGAATTCAAATGTATGTTGTCAAAAGCAACATTATAACATGGATTACAACCAATTTTATTCCAGAAGTTTCCATAAGCAACTCAAAAATAGCCTGAAGCCGAAAGTTAATTATGACACCTCCATATTTCTTGTTGACTTTGGTTACATACATTAGTATTTAGTAGCTGCAGTTTTAAGAAGAAACCCAAAATTGAACTAGAAAAGTTCACTTCTTCTATCATTTTTTCTATAAGGAATTACTTCTTTTAACTAATCAAAAGAAAAAACTTTCTTTTATCATCTGCTGGAATCTGAGTCTTGAATTACAATGTCCCACCATTTCAACTACCTTTCACTTCCATTAATTTTGAAAAAGTACTCTTGAATTAAAGTGTGTGTAGTAACGCGAAGTAACCACTACAAATATATTCCGCATGTAGATAAAGGAAAGCCACAGAAAAAAAGAAGTAAAATTGCATCATTTCCTCAGGTAGCACATGCCTAGATCATAACTCCAACCAAAATAGCTGCGCAATAAATACCCAGAAATTTAAAATTGAAAAAGGAACTAAGTCCAATGAACAGAACTCCAACTCAACAAACAAACGAACGACAACAAGTGTAATCCCACGAGTGAGGTCAAGGGAGGCTAGTAAAGACTCAAGACTTCATCTGAACTCCCTTCGACAGAAACTTACACTGTTTATACTTCATACATGGTTAAAATTGTTTTTTTACAAATATCCAACTTTTACTGTGTTAACTTCTTCGTATTTTGAACTCCTTCAATGAAAATCCGGGCTCATGCTTCATAGAGTTGTTTCCATAGACAACTCAGCAAACAAAAAATTCCATAATAACAAAAAGAAAACCAAACAGAAGACTGAACTTTACTATTAAACTCATAAAATTGATACCCAAAAAATAAGATATACAAAAAAAAAATCCTTTATCAGATTACAAACACATAATTCATATAGCAAAATGTTACCTGTTCTTCACCCATAAGATCCTGCAACCTAGCTTTAAGTTCAGGTCCATGTCTACCACCACTTTTCGCATTAATAAAAACGACGATCGGCGATTCCGACGGCTGAGGAGGTTCAGCTCCGGCAGCATTAGCCATATCGTAATGCCGCATCACAGAATCAACATCCTTGTTCTGAATTGCTTCTCTCATCGCTACCCTTAAATACTCCGGTATCGTAATCCTCTTCCTCAAATCATCCTTCTGTATCGTCGACCCCGTACATCCCCATATTGAATCTATCACCGATGATCTCCCTGACGCCGCCGTGTTCCGACTCGTTGATAAATCCGTCGTCGTTAACTCCGGCGAACCCATGTGAAATGACAAAATTACCCTTTTTTCCAAATTAAATTATATTATCAATAATTGATTAAAAGCTAAAAGATGTGTCAAATATGTATAGGAGGAAAAAGGGTGGTGGGGTAGGGGGAAGTGAATATGAAGAAAAGCATTAAAATGGAATTTAAATTTGGTTTTAAGAAAAGAATATTTAAAGTTAATATTTGAATAAATATTTTAGGATAAATATATATACACAATTAAAATTTTTATTTTTATTTAATTTAATCAATGAAGAGTTTCGACGATTTAAAAAGTATTTACGTAGTGTAGCACGATTATTTCGATCATAAAATCATTAAAGCAATCATTTATGATTCTTATTTTTTCTTTAAGATATATTGTATATTGTTTTACAAAAACTCATATATAGATAAATTTGAGGGGGGTAATTGGGTAGAAAATATTAATTATTTACCTTAGTTAATGGATGAATCGCTGTAATAATTGAGAAATAAATAGCGTTTAGTTAATTATAGTATTTATTGTATGTAGTTATTTAATTTGTTGTCTCATTTATATCGTGATAACTGTCATGAACCTACATTAATATTCTTATATTTATATTCTTTTATTAGTCTTTCGCTATTTTATTCTCTGATTATTGAATATTTTAAAGACTCTTAAATAGTCAAACTTCTACATTATGCTGAATCTAGAATTTGATGTCATATGTTTTATAAAAAGATTGTATTTATTTTTTTGATATCTTCTTCAAATTTCAAACATTGAAAAAAAATTAATATTATTCGACATCACTATATTAACTTATCAAATTCAACTCAATACTATTTTGATATCATTATAAAAAAATTCAAGTCAGGTTAAGAGAACCTTATTTGCAGGACTACATTGAGTATGCTTTAGTTATTCAATTTATATATGGCAATTTAAAAAAAAATCTTTATAATTTGATTTTAATTAGGCCCCCAAAATTATTAGAATAATTATTATTTGTAATCGAAAAAAATAAATGAACTTGAAAATTTCAATTTTTTGGGCAAAGGAAGAATATATACTTGGCCATGCTATGTTAATATTCCTTTAAAATCAAAATAGGATTTTGATCCAACTCATTATTATACTAATTTATGTAATATTCAGAGCATGATATATTGTTCAGAAGAGTCATTCAATTTTCTAAAGAAATGTTATTTTGCTTACACTTCTATTATTTTTATACTTTTATTTTATTCGTTTTTCATTATTTTATTCTCTCATTTTATTGAATATTTTAAAGTCTCTTAACGTTTATTTTATACAGAATTTATAACTTTTTGTTGTGTGTTTACAAAAAGATCAAATTTATTTTTGGTATCTTCTTCAAATTTCAAATATTGGAAAAAAATCATTTGATCATCATTATATTAACTTATCAAATTCAACACAATATTATTTCGATATTATTACATTTTTCCATTGAAAATTTACATAGTGTACATCCTTACTTCATAAGGTAATATATATCGTATTCTCTCCGGACTTTATTTATAGGATTACAGTGAATATTTTTAGTTATTCAATTTATATATGTCAATCACATAAAAATCTCTAAAAAGATTGACTTTAGGCGCCCAAACTTATTTAAACGACTTATAATATAATCTTTGAATAATTATTATTTATAAAAGAAAAAAAATAAATGAACTTGAAAATTTCAATAATTTTGGGCAAAGGAAGAATATATACTTGGCCATGGTATGATAATATTCTTTTACACTTAGAAAAAAATTTCATAATTTTGTAATGATCATTGAAATTGTGATTTTCCAATAATACGACACGTTATTTTATGTATGAAAATGAAGCAAGCAATTGACAATTATATATACTTAAATACATGTATCTAATGGTGTTAGTAAATTTTTCAAATAAGAACGAAATTACGTTACATGTTTGTCACTTTACATTACTCTTTTTACGAGTGTGGTTCGAAGAAGAATCGAACCACATTATATTTATATATCACACATATAATTTTATCTTGCGATTTTGTAATAAGTTTATTTTACAACTGAAAGCACAAAATTATTGCGTTTGATGCTAGTAAATTTTTTAAATGAAAATGAAACATCATATATATGCTTGTTACATCACATCAATCTTTATACGAGCGTGATTTAAAAAAAATCAAATCATGTTATATTTATATATTACACACATATAGTTTTTCAATAAATTTATTTACAACTAATCAAACATTTATTCTTCTAATATATTAAACCAATGACAACTCTTATTGATGTATGCAAAGATAAGAGTTGTCATTGGTTATACAATTAACCAACGAAAAATTTTAATATTAAAAAATTATATGAAAAGTATTATGAATTAAATTATGAAAAAATTGATAAACATGAATATTGTTCTAAATTTTTGTTTGAGACTTTTGAGTACCTTGAAAACTAATATTAATTAAGAGAGAGAATAGAATAAAACTTTTATTCAAGATACAACAAGTTATTTTCACTCTCTGAGAGTGCATTATTTATTTATATTAATTATTCTAAGCCAAACATAAATCTTAGCCGTTGAATACATATATAGCCATGATTGTTCAAACTTAGGATATATCCCATCTAGATCTATTTCTTCTTTGTAATCTTGGTAGTGGTGATAGTGGCGACGATAGTTACCTGCATAAAATAAATAAAGGTATAATTAATGTAACGTAAAAAAATAATAATTATAGTTTTAATTTTAACAGTTATCTTTCTTTTCTTATGCCTCGTATAAGTTCAAATTAATTAAAACACTAAACAAAAGAAATACTTAATAAAATCTTCTAACATGTTTAAGATCAGAAACTCTCAAACGTGTTATAGTTACAAACCTTATCACATAATATTGTTTTAGTAGTGAAAAATTGACTGATAAAAAATATCGAATACGAGTAAGTTTTTAGAGAGTTAGATTCTTACTGAGGTTTTGGATGAGGTAGCATAATCCTAGCTCCACTAGAACAACTTGTTGGATTAGCTTGTGAAGGGCATGAAATGAAACTAGTGCCACCCAAATTAGTGCACAATGTAACTTCACTCAAGTAAATATGAGTTCTATTTGTTGCATCAATTGGAATACATGTTAGGTAAACAGTAAGGGGAGTTGAAACAAACACCTTTTGTATAGCATCAACAATATCTTTTCTAGCAAAAGACAAGCTATCACAAGCAATAATCCCACTTGTTTTCAAGTAATTGAACAAGTTGCCCTTTTGAAGCATGTTGTTGATCTTTATTGCTGTGTTGAAGTATACTTGTGGTGTGGTTCCTCCACACGCTCCATGCGCTCGCCACTCGTGCTTCCATAGATCCCTTTTTTGGGCGTTTTCTCTAAGCGGTGGCCAGAATGCCATGAGCTGATTCTCTAACGTCGTTGTAAACTGTCAAAAAATATTTACGAGATCATATTATTTGGCTTAGAGTTAACTTAATTCCAAGTAAATATCTTTATAACAAGCAACAAATTAAACAATCGATGACCTAATTAATAATAATGTCACCCACCTACTCAAAAATCATTAGTTTATTCATCAAAAGTGCACTTGATTAAAACAAAACACTTTTTTTTTTTCATTTTGTAAATTTCTTTCTTTTCCAAATGAAAAAAAAAGCTTTATATCTAAAATACACTACAATATTTTTTTTAAAAAAATATTAAATTCAACTATACTAGAATGAATAAAAGTCAAGATGTCAAAGCTTTGACCTAAAGAAACATTAAAACACAAAAAATTGTGTAAAAGAACTCATGTTTACAAATATTAATATATAAACTTACATGTATATGGCCGGTTTATACATATAAAAAAAAAGTAAAATTTAATATCGTCAGTGTATAAAACATAAACTCTTATGACTGAAAAGTCGATACGTACTAGTTTATTCCAATCTGGATCTGGTGGTACAGGGCATGTAATACTATATCCTCTTTGATCTGCTGGCCAAACTCCATGGAGTGTTAAATTATGCTGAAGAATTGGTTCTTTGCATCTGCCTGGTGGTGCTGCTGAATTTAGTCCTATACAAAAAGTTGGTGGCCATTGAAGCACAAATTTCAAGAGTGATGGATTTTGAGAGTCAACAGAAATTGTTATTTCAAGTAGCAAAATGACAAGAAGAAAGAAGTTAACAAGTTTCTTCATGTTGTGTGTGTGGGGGGGGGGGGAGGGGGGGGGAGGGATTGATTAATAAGTTGAGCAATTGAGTGGGAGCTTTATAAGAACATTTATAGGGGTTTTCTCTTCTTCTTTTTTTCTCTTTAATAGTATTTAATATTATTATTGTCAAGCTCTAAAGCGGGTACCGATTACCGATTAATGAGTTGACTTATTAAATTAAATTTATGGGTTATTTATTTTAGCGAACTGAACCATCGTTATTTAGGAAAAATAAAACATTGGGAAAATGTTGAGGTGTCCCGCCAGAGCGGGCGAGATGTTACTAGGGCGGCAACACCACAGCGGGATAAGTAGCCGCCCCAGCAGGATAGACGTGACAAAATGTAAATAACGCGAAATCTTGTTTTCTCCTTCTTCCAAAAACATCAAAAAGAGGCTAAGGTTACCCTAGAAACCCTCTAAAGGCTGCTCTAAGCTTGGGAAGGAAGGAGAAAGAGATTTCTAGCTTAAGGATGTCGATAGATTGCAGATCCCGATTACAGCCTCGTCGTTCGAAAGTTCGGATTGGAACGATAATTTCTCTACAGCTGCTTGGAGCCCATGTAGGCTAGGTTTTATTAATTGAGTAATTATAAATATGTGCTCGTTGCGTAGTATACTGTTAATTGGTGGTATAATTCATGCGTAGGCTTTCGTGTACCAAATAATGAATGATTATACTGTGATCCTAGCTGTTGCATAGGACGTGTACCATGAGGTAAAAAAACCTATCTCGTGAATTAGGATTAAGTGATGGTTGTGATTCATGTTTGTGTGATATACATCTGTTATTGGCTTCGTTATACGTATACATGTATAGAATTGATGCATATGAATCAAATCTAAGGAAAAGACTAATGATGTCCAATTACATGTCATCAACCTAATACTTGATTGATTGGGT